ATCCTTTAAAGATGTTCGGTTTTCCTGTTTTTCGAGAAAGAGAAAAGATGCAGAGGGAGAACAGAAAAAGAACAAGAGAAGAAGAAAAACAAGAAAACATTAAAGAAAAGAAGGCAGAATTTGAATGCAGCAAAGAGGGGGGAGTTTTCGATTTTCCTTGGCTGAAAGAGGGTGTGATCTTTAAAGATGATGAATATTTGGAACTCCAAGATCCATTCGGTACATGTTTATATGAAATTCCGAGTATTTTTACAGAAAATCTTGAACAATTTTGCGTAGAAAATTTGTGTGATGAGAATTTTGGTGATAAATACAAGATTGATGAGAACTATTTGTGTACATTTCAAGAACCAGTGGATTGCATTTGGAGCTCAGTGATTGATCAGCCTCTTGATATTGGCTTCAGCATAAATATTTCATCTTCGGATTTTTGGTAAGCTTTGAAGTTTTCATGTTCGATTTGTAGTATTTGACTCTTTTGGTGAATGGTTTTCAATCATTTAACCATTAGAAATCATGTTTAGTTACAGTTGTTTGACGAGTAATTTTAGGGTTGGACATAGTCCAATTCTAAAACTGAATTTTCGCGTATTTAGTAAATGGAACCATATGGTCCAAATTTAATTATGGAACCGAACTGGTTTGATTTTGTTGGATTCGATTCGATTCGCAAGTTTGGTACAATAATTAAATTTGTTAATATTAACATAAAGGAGGTTAAGTGCTTAAAATCATATATTGTTTATGTTTTTTGTTTGTTTGTTTCAATGGAAAGATCAAATGCTGAAACAATAATGCTACATTAATTCAACTAACCAGATGTTTTAATCTTTGCTCTTACAAAATAACATAATCCAATCTTGTGAGATCTTTTGCAGCTCTCTTTGTTGAAATCATCATAATTTTCACTGCTAAAATCCTTTTTCAGTAGGGAGTTCACAACAATGAAAAGAGGTGTAGTCCAGCTTTCAATTCGATTTTTCTAGAATGGTAGAAACCTCACTACCATAGGATGAGATATTTGGATAAATTTTAGGTCAGATTGATTAAGTTGGGATTGGACTTAAAATTTGAAATTGAAAAATCATATTTTGGATTAAGGTTAAATTAATTAGTTAGCAAATTTATTTAGAAAAAACAATTTGGCATATTTAATATTAAAATTTAAAAAATTATGGAGATTCGATTCTTTAGTTCTTGGACTGGAACCAAACTCGTCGTTTCTCGATTCAAATACTCGTTCGGATATTTGACTTAAGAAAAACTACTCAATTCGATTCAGTCTAGTTTGGTTCGATTCGATTTGGGAGTTTTGTCCAATTCAAAGTAATTTCAATAACAAAATGAACAAAAAAAATAAAATCATTTAATCGCTCTATATCTTCTCAACCTGTTTGCTTCCTATGTCTTGTTTGGGTTCAATTAAACTTTTTTATTAAAATTTAAGTTAAAATCAACAGTTAATTTTAATCACACATTTTATAGGTATTCACAATCTTTTAACGACACGTTCCATTATTTTTATCAAAATCTCCTAAAAATATTTTTATCTAAATAAAATCGAGGCAATATTTACAAAAATTAGTTAATTATTATAACATTAATTATCCAAATATGTGTTCACACATATTTGCAAGTAACATGACAAAACTATGAGCAAATATATGTTAAAACCACTAAATATTCAGTCACCGCTACAAGGCACAGCGGTACCTATTGCCTCTGCTGTATATAGTAGTGGCGAGCGCAACTGCTGATCTCAGCAGACGATCTGCTCGTCGTTGCAACAGTGCCAACTACAGGGTCATGGAGGTGCGCCACCGCTGCCCAGCTGCCATATATAGCATCAGT